GGAAGGGACAGGATTTGACGATTGATTGGACATGAGGGGTGAAGGAGAGGTTGGAGTCAAAAAGAACACCCAGGCAGTGAGCCTGTGAGGTAGAGGTGATGGTAGGGCCATTGACAGCGCTGTTGACTTGGAGGGAGACAGACACTGGAGTAGTAACTCTTGAGGGAGGAAAGACAAGAAGTTCTGTTTTGGACAGGTTGAGTTTAAGGAAGTGAGCAGCCATCCATTTGGAAATCGAAGAGATGCAGTCAGAGACACGAGTCAAGATGGGCGGAGAGAGATCAGGAGAGAACAGATACATTTCAGTGTCATCCGCATAGAAATGATAACGGAAGCCAAAGGAGCTGATGAGTTTACCAAGGGAGGCAGTGTAGATAGAGAACAGTAGGGGACCAAGGACAGAACCTTGGAGGACGCCGACAGAGAGTGGTTGGGGGGAAGAGGCAGAGTCAGAGAAAGAAACACTGAAAGAGCGCTGGGAGAGGTAGGAGGAGAACCAGGAGAGAGCAGTATCCCATAGACCAAAATTACGGAGAATGCGAAGAAGATGTTGATGATCAACAGTGTCAAAGGCAGCAGAAAGATCAAGGAGAATTAGGATAGAGTAATGGCCTCGAGATTTAGCAGCAATTAAATTGTTGGATACTTTGGTCACAGCTGTTTCGACAGAATGACCAGCATGGAATCCAGACTAAAGGGGGTCAAGCAGAGAGTTGGTTTCAAGAAAATCAGTCAGTCTGGTGTACAACTCTTTCGAGGATCTTGGAGGCAAGTTGCAGTAGCGAGATAGGGCGGTAGTTGGATGGGGAGTTTGGGTCAAGGCTAGGCTTTGAATTGGGGTTACAGTTGCAATTTTGAAGGGTTAGGGAAATGTGCCAGAGGAAAGGGAGAGACTGAAAATTTTAGTGAGGGGAAGAGCAAGAGAGGGAGACATAGTGAGGATGAGATATGAAGGAATAGGATCGAGGGAACAGGTGGTGGGAAGGGAGGACCGGAGCAGAGCAGAAAACTCTTCTGCTGTAGCAGGTGCGAATGAGTATAGAATGGTGGAGGGAGTGGGGTTGGGTAATGTAATGGTAGGGGAAGGAGATAAATTAGCAATCTCTTGTAGAGATCTTCTCAGTGAAGTGAGATGCAAAGTCTGTGGCGGACAAGGTTGTAGAAGGAGGGGGATTAAAATGGCGAAAAAGAGCATCAAAAGTGTGAAATAGGTGTTTGGGTTGATGGGACAGTGTACTTATGAGGGTATTAAAGTAATTTACATTTTTGCAGCGGAGCGAGCCAGGCTGTAGGAGGGCAGCATAAATTTATAGTGGAAGAAGTCAGATGCAAAGTGAGACTTTCTCCAGCAGCGTTCAGCAGTTCTAGAACATTTTTGGAGGTAACGGGTCAGCTCGGTGTGCCAGGGTTGTAATTGGGGGCATTTGCTGCGTTTAATTGTAGGAGGTGCCATGATGTAGAGTTGAGAGGAGAGAGTGGAGTAGTAGAGTGAGGTAGCCGAGGGAGCAATTATGGAGAGCATTGTAGGTAAATATGATAACTTTGAACTGAATCCTAATTGAAACAGGAAGCCAGTTTGGAGACTGACAGAGGAATGAGGTGTGATATTTCCTGTAAGTAATAGATGAGTCATAGTTGATGAATCTTGCAGATGCATTCATTATGGACTACAGAGCAGCAATCTGGGTAATTTTCAGGCTAATAAGCAAAGGAGTAATGTAATTGAGGTGGGCACAGCATGAGCATAGACAAGTGTCTTAGTTGGGT